GCCTTGGCCTTCCAAAGTGCTGGGATTACAGGCGTGAGTCACTGCGCCCAGCCTTTTTTTTTTTTTTTTGAGAAAGGGTCTCACTCTGCCACCTAGGCTAGAGTACAGTAGTGAGATCACGGTTCACTGCAGCCTGGACCTCCTGGACTCAGGTGATCCTCCCACCTCACTCTCCCGAGTAGCTGGGATCATAGGTATGCGCCACCGTGCCTGGCTCATTTTTGTATTTTTTTGTAGAGACCAAGGTTTTGACATGTTGCCCAGGCTAGCCTCGAACTCCCAGCTCAAGTGATTGGCAACCTTGGCCTCCCAAAGTGCTGGGATTACAGACATAAGCCACTGTGCTGGCCATGAATTCTTTTTGTAGTGTATTTAACTATGCTTCAGAGATTCAAACCCAGAAGCACATAATTCATAAGAACTGCTGGCTTTAATTTTAATGAGCTGTGGTAGAGTGTGAAATGGTGTGATTTTCAAAGGTAATTTCAAGGACTGTTTTAGTATCAAAGACGTTCTTCAGAACAGCCTAAGTGGCTTTGCTTATCATGTGACTGTGGATTCCAGTCTGTTATGGTACAAGGAGTTTGCAAAGTCATGATGTTCTCAGATGCTGGGCATGCAAGTGGTTATAAAAAAGGTCAAAACTCCAGGACAATTCAAAATATTTTACACTTCCAAGCTTAAAATGTCCCACATCTTTCTTCTTTCTTGTTGCCAAAATTTTTCACATTTGTGAAAGCAAAGTCCTTCATTATCTGCACCAAATTTTAATCCAAATGATTGAGATACTGCAACACATGATACTACATTATTGATGAATAGATTTTTAAAAACTATTCTAACTCAGCTACCAAAATACTCCATCAAATGAAAAGGCCATCACCAAGAGATGTATACTAGACTGCTCACAGTAGCACTATCTATAATGGCTCTAAATGGCAAACTGCCCTAATGTCCATCAGAAGAATGAATTCATAAATTACAGTATATCCACAGAATGGAAAACAAAATGATCTACAACTGCATACAACAATATGGAAGAATCTTACAAGTGTAATGTTGAGTCCAAGTAGCCAAAACCAAAAGAACACATACTTTATGTCTTTATATATAACAACATAAAGATAGGCAAAACTACCTATGCTGTTGAAAGCCAGCATAGAAACTCCCTTGGAAGAAGGCAGGTTGGAAGGCAGGTTGACGGGGTTCTCAGGTATTAATAATGTTTTGTTCCTTGATCTGGGTGCTGGATACAAAGGTGTCTGCAGACTGTGAAAATTCATGGAGCTGTCTACACTTAGGATATGTGCACTTTTTAAGACACATATTTCAATAAAATTTTTATGTTTTTAAATTCCAGGCCAGGTACAGCGGCTCATGCCTGTAATCCCAGCACTTTGGGAGGCTGACGTGGGCGGACTGCTTGAGTTCAGGAGTTCAAGACCAGCCTGGGCAACATGGGGAAGCCCCGTCTCTACAAAATATATAAACATAGCTGTGTATGGTTGAGCGTGCCTGTAGTCCCAGCTACTTGGGAGGCTGAAGAGGAGGATCACTTGAGCCTGGGAAGCAGAGGTTTCAGTGAGCTGAGACAGTGTCACTTCACTCCAGCCTGGGCAGGAGTAAAACCCTGTCTCAAGAAAAAGAAAAAAAGAAAAAAGAAAAAAATCCAGGAAGTCTATGAAAAGACGTCAGCTCAACATAATATTACTCAAGGTTATTACTATAATCTGTGAGCCATCAACGTGAAAGTCACTCTGTAACTGGGTTATTAAATGCACTGGATTCAGAACAGTTGTCCCTGGCCTAGAATAACTAAAATGCCAAATCAAGTTAATTCTTTATCTTTAAAATCTCTAATTTTCTGCTTTTCTCTCCCTTCAGTGACATTGTCATAGTTTAATCCAAGTCATCTTCCACCTTACATTTCATCTGTCATAATCTCCTAATCAGTTTCCCAATAGCTTATTTTAACTGTTCTTTGCACACTAACCAAAGTGATGTAAAGTCTAAACCCAGATTCTTTCAATTCTTTTTTTCGAATGCCTCAATAGAAGCCCATTAAATTTAAAATGTAATGCCAACTCCAAGCCCCCTTCTGCCTCATCTCCCTCACATCATGCTGCTCTTCCCCTCCCTCCATATGCTGAGGACACTTTGGCTTTCTTTCTGTTCTTCCAAAACGCCGGGCTGTCCCACCTAGAGACCTTTGTCTGTTGTCCCCTCTGCCCAGAACAATTCATCATTTTATTGGTTCCAAGGCTGAATGACTGATTGTTTAAATGCCATCTTATAACGTTCTCATATAACAACCGTATCTGAAGTCATCCCCCAGTGTCCACACCATGTCTATTTCTTTCCTTGACATGATTAGTTACTATTCAATGAGCTTGTTTACTTGTTGGTTTTCTCCCTTTTCTTTGTTAGACTGAAAATTCTATGAGGGTAGCTATCATGTCTATCTGTGTTAGGGGCGTATCCCCAGTGCCTAGCAAATGCCTGGCATACAAGACGTCCTTCAATAAACACAAAAATACTTGTTGAATGAATGAATAGACATTCCCGAAAGATCACAAGATACCTGTTCAGCCACGAAGAACACTGCACTGTGCACTACTTTTCAAAGACGTGGCAGTGAAATCAGATACCTTTCAAGCTCTAAGCCCAGGCAGTGCTGGCATTCCGTTCTCGGTTTCCTGGCTGTCACAACCACAGTCCCTTTGCCCGAAGTGAAACCCCCTCGGCGCTCCGCCCGCTGGCGAGGTACCAAGACTCGCGGCTCCACCCACCCACCGCAAAGCGCGCCCCCTCTTTGGCTGGGGAGCCAACCTCGGGAAGGCGGGGCGCCGCCGCGAGCCACCACTGGCCCAGGGCGATGTCGTTCCGCCACGCAGCTAGAAGACTGCGAAGTCAAATAGCAGCCGCGGGGAGGCTCGTTCCCACCGGCATCTGTGATTGGCTGCGATCGAGGGCCCAGGCAGCTGGCCAACCGTCTCGCCTAGCGCCGACTGGCTGGATCTGCTGTCAGTCAGCGGGAACAGACTTCTCCCTCTCCATCTGGTCAACTGCGGGAGAAAAATTTTCGAGAATTTCCAGCAGGCCAGGCAGTGGCCGCTTTGACTGCTTGCTTCGGAGATCCGAGACAACGGAGAAGGCACTCTTATTTACCGACCTAGAAAGCCCTTTCCCCGCCCTCCGTTAGCTAATTAAAACATTTTTCAGGGACATAGCCATCCAGAGGTAAGAGCCTAGAGAGTGCAATTCATTTATTTCTGCTAACCGTGTATTCTGTTCTTTATTGGCGGTCGCGGAATGGAGAGTAAACGGAGAAGGGTTTCCCGGGAGGGCGAAGGGGAGACGTCGGTTTCCGTTCCCCCGCCCCCCGAGTCGGTGCTTGGCCGGCGGTCTCTCTGGGTTCTCAGAGCGCCGCTTTCTTCCCTTTGGAGGTCAGGAGCAGCTAGTCGGGGTGGGGCGGGGCCCAGCTTGGCTGCAGCCCAGACTGCGCTTGGCCTAGAATGTGGCCGCAGGCTGGAGGGCCAGCGCGGCGCGAGCAGAGCAGGGTCGGTGGGCCGGGACTGGAGACCCTTGCCCCAGGCTCCGGAAGCGAGGATGCTACGGGGTGGGCGCCGCGTCGCCACCCGGGCGAGGGAAACGTGGCGACAACGGGCTCGGTACGCCCAGAGGGAGGTTGGGAGGCGGAGACCTGGCGGCGGAAGGTGCCGAGGGAGCCCAGCTATCTGCAGGGCTTCGCAGGCAGGCGACCGGGCGTGTGTTCTTCCCGCCGTGTGCCACCCTGGCCACTAGCCTGTCAGGGCCAGCGAGCCGAGCCCAGGATCCTGAGCTGTCCACAGGTGAGCTTTTCAGGTGGTCTGGCATCGGGAAAGATGCACAGCCCCGACTGGTTTTCATCCGAAGACTTGGGTTTTACTTTGTGCGGGGAGCATTGTAGTACTCAAGGCCTTGTAGCTGGTGATGTGTTTTTCAGCAGCCGCTTTCTGTAGATGAGAGAATTCATCGGAGGTGACAAAGAAGTTCCAGGTGGAAGTAGCCAGGGAATTTGCAGTCTCTAAAGCTCCACTGGCTTTTCTGAGCCTCCCACTATTAACGTGCAGCGTGGCCTCTTAGGTTCCTTCCGTCAGGGCAGAGGAATGAGGTGGTCCTTAGGTTTCAGAATGGGCGACTCAAGTGACAGATTACACTGACCATGAAAAAGAGCAATGAGGCCGGGCGCAGTGGCTCCCAGCACTTTGGGAGGCCAAAGCGGGCTTGAGCCGAGGAGTTCGAGACCAGCCTGGGCAACATAGCGAAACCTTCGGCTCTACAAAAAAATACAAAAAATTACCCGGGCGTGGTGGCATGTGCCTGTGGTCCCAGCCCCGGATGTTGAGGTGGGAGGATCGCTTGAGCCTGGGTGGTCGAGGCTGCAGTGAGCCGAGATCGCACCACTGCACTCCAGTCTGGGCGACAGAGCGAGACCCTGTCACAGAAAGAAAAAGAAAAACAGCCATGGTCCGTGGTATTCTAGTTAGGCAGCCGTGACAGGAAGAAGAGCAGCATGTGTGAGTGTGTGTGCCTGATAGAATACTTTAGTTATAATATTTGAGTAGTGAGTTCTCGCTAATGATTTTTTTCTTGCAACCTTAGTCATTACTGCTAATCACCCAGGCAACTTCCTTGACTGGAGTCCTTAGAGACGAGGAAACAAGAGAGGAGAGTGGCTAGTGACATAATAGACTGTGAAGGAAAGTTCTCAAAGGCATTATAAAGTTACAGGTTTGGGATACAGTCTGTGGCTTGTATGCATATTTACTAATGTGTCTGAAAAGATATCTATGGGAATAGAATACTAAGTACTTTTCTCTGGTCACATTTCAGCACTTTTCTCCAGTCACATATCTGGACATAGAAATATTCACATTAAACCTAAGGGGAGTCCTTCGGAGTTTTTATTGTTTTTTTCTTTTTTCCCCTCAGGTAAAGCAGTAAATTTTCTTTCCCTTCCTCCTAGCAGGGTATTGATAAAGAAGGTATTGGGGTCCAAATTAGCTGAAACACATTCTGGAAATTTCCATACTATTTGAATTCACTGGGATGCTTTAATTGATTTTCTAAAAAGGTCGATAAGTAAATACTTGGTTTAAGAATATTTAAAATGGCTGTGTTCTCATTGTGGAAGTTGTAGATACCTAAGTGCCACTTCATAATTGGGCAGATAGGAATGCTTTCTTAAAATATTTTTTCTAGAGGGATAAAATCTAAGCAGGTTTCAGAAGTTTAGAACTCCTGAATAATGTTAGCATGTGCTTAAACTGCCCTTTTGACCTGCTTTTAACGTACAAGAACAGTTTAACTCAAATCCAGTACACCTTCCTGCCAGAGACAGTGCTTTCCTCTTGGATGACTTGACTTCCAAAGATTGAATATAATGTTAAAATGGTTTATAAAAATAAAGTAGCCATGTTTTCCCATTAAAAGATTGAGCTAAATCTCCCCTGCTTACTTGAAAAGATTCCTTCTCTCTCTTAGTTTGCAGAATAATGAACTCATTCCAATTTTTAATTGCTGAACTGACAAAGACAATTCTTAGATGTTTGCTAATTTGTTCTCCACTCTTTTGTTGTAGAGAACACTGATTGCTTTTTTTTTTCCTTAAGGTTTTCGTTTTTCACATCACAAGTTCTACTACCCTTGCCTTGCTCGTCAAAGCATAGTCATTTCTATGGGCATCAGCAGAGCTGTGGGGTCTATGATGGTAGATCCCGATTTTGAAGCTCTAGAGGAGGAAAGTTTTCTTAATGTGCAGGTTTAATTCAAAGTTGTTTTTTACTTTGGGAACTCCAGCTGCCTTTGAATTGTTTCTTAGGGAATATGGAGGGGATTGGTATGATTTAGTTACATTGCAGATGGAAAAGGACATGGAGTCACTTCATAACCTCTCTTGTTTACCTAAGCGATGCTGACCTGTTTTTTTTGTTTGTTTTTTTTTATGAACTAGCTATATATCTGGGTCATATTTCATCTCTGTCAATAATATGTCTTAAAGTAGGTGTTTTCCTATGACTGCCTGCTTTCTGAGATGATTATAGAAACAATACACGAGGAAGGATGCCAGGTTGATGATTGATTTTAAAATATGCAGGTTTTTAACCTTACAGAAAGTGCTCAATTTGCATTTTATCTCATTTCTTAAAAATGTTTCCAGTTGATATTTGTTCTCTGTTAGAATGCAGTTCTACTTTATTATTAAAAAAAAAAATTGGGGGGAGGATAAAAGGAGATAAAAAGGCAAGAATATACTAGAAGGGCTGCAGAAAAACTTTAATATTTATTTATTTGTAATTCCAGAACTCTGGTTTAAAGTAGGTGCATGACTGCAAAGTAGCCCGAGGCTGAATATGGCATATCTCCTTTCAGACTGAAGCCAAAACAATAGTATTTTGCTAATCTCAAGTTAACTCTTCAAATATGAATATTTTCTAATAAATGTATTTATTTAAATTTCTTTTTTTTTCCTATATGATATAAAACTGCTTTGGGAATTATCGCCAAATAATTAGTACGTCTATTACCTGGTAGATTGTATTATAGTTTGAAATCTCAATTCATCACCTGTAGTTAATATAATTGGTTTTATAAATTTTTTTTTTAACACACCATTGCTGGCTTGAATCCATAATTGTTGCTGAATAAGATCTAGCTCTCAATTAGAAGCAAAAGAACAAACATCTCTTGCAATGGAATGTGTTATTTCTCTCTCTCACTCTCTTTTTCTTTTTTTAAATAGACAGCGTCTTGCTCCATCGCCCAGGCTGGAGTGCAGTGGTGTGATCTTGGCTCACTGCAGCCTCCACCTCCCAGGCTCAAGCAATCCGTCCACCTCATTTTTGTAGAGATGGGGTTTCACTATGTTGCCCAGGATAGTCTCAAATTCCTGGGCTCAAGCAATTCTCCCACCTCAGTCCCCTGAGTAGCTGGGACTATAGACATGCGGAACCATGCCTAGCTAATTTTTGTATTTTTAGTGGAGACGGGGTTTTGCAAGGTTGTCAATGGCTGGTCTCCAACTCCTGGCCTCAAGTGATTTGCCTGCCTCGGGCTCTCAAAGTGCTGGGGTTACAGGTGTGAGCCTATACAGGTCTAGCCTGTACAAGTCTAGCCATGTTACTTCTCTTTAATAACCAGAGATGCTGTGTCTCTGCCACTCTCCAACCCCCCACCAATGTTGTCTTATAAAGAAATGAATTTCAGCCTTATATGCAGGATCTTGGCCAAAAGGCCAAGAAGGGGTGACTTCCTAAGTCTTTGATGATACATTACTGTTTTGGTTGCCATCTTTATTCTAAATTCTGTGGTGGCAGAGCTCATGTATTTTTTATTGCTTAAATATCTAAAGATTGATGCCAGGCTTTCTGGTGCATGCTTGTAATTCCAATTCTTTGGAAGGCTGAGGTGGGAGGATCACTTGAAGCCAGGAGTTCAAGAGCAGACTGGGCAACAAAGTGAGAACCCATCTCTACAAGAAATTAAAACAAATAAATGTCTAAGGATGTTCTTTGGAACCTTATTCTTTCTTTTGCCTGTTTTACCCACCAAAAGAAGTAATGGCCTTCCCTATACATAGCTAGACTGATTTCCAAAAATTCACTTGAAAGTAATTGTTTGAAATCTGTAGTGCATTTTCTCATAACTGCACTCAAGCTG